TGACAGAATAGATGATACAAAGTGGTGACTCACATTTTCTCCTTTACCTCTACATTCACTAAAGTATCTGGAACTATTCCCATACTAAAACAACAATCATTAGTGTTGCACCCACCCATTCCCCTTACACATCAGCACGCGCCTATAGAAACAATCATGCTCTGTCATCAGTGTGAGCTCTGTCTTCAAGCTGATGCAGTATCATAGATTTCAGGGCACTGTACCTGCAGAGGTGGGGGGAAAAGAAACACTCGAATAAAGGCTTTGTGTTGCATGTCTACACTTACACCCAAATACATGTTTATTTATTACTGAAGGGTGGTATTATTTTAATGAAAAGACTGAACAAAGAACGTGTAATGAATGACTTATTCGTCAGACTGTCAGTGGAGCTTAGCTACTTAGAACACAAATCCTAAAAAAGAATACAGGTTGAGACAATTTGCTGCAAGTTAACTGTAACCATGAAAGGCACAATTGTGATTCCATCACTAACTTGTAGTAATTCCTGGAAACTTTATCCTAACCTTAAACCGGATCTTAACATTGCAATGTAATATTTTTCTTATGATGATGTGCCTTTTGTCTCCAGAAGAGAAGCAAGTCTGTTTCCCACAGAACTGTGTAAACAGACTCATAAGGCCACATGCGTCATAAAAGTACATACAATGTCAGGCTTAGTAGGCTGAAATCTCAGTCATATGAGGTGAAAGATTATATAAGCTTGCAAACAATAAGCTGTGACACTGTCCTTAACTGAAGAGTGACTGCCTTGTTTTGATTTAGTAATACTGACAGGAAATATGCATATTGGCTCCACATCATGAAATAAATCAGTTGAGATTTACAACATTTATGAAAGGAGAGACTCTTGACTTACTTTTTGGTCAGTTTGATTATTTCACGTTCCTCTTCCTCTTTCAGTTTTTCTACAAAGCTGTCTAAAACGGGAATCTCAAACTTTATGTACTGGGCAACCTGGAAAAAGATAAATTCAAACGTATCATTTTGAGGGAGAACTATCCAAATAAATGTTACACAAAACAAAGTTTTTTTCCTTTTCCCTGGTTTAGCACTAAGATGGCAGATTGTACTCATTACTGTTATTTATTGTATTCTTGTGCTTTTCAGTGCAACTGATATATTGTTTGCTTTTATGGAAAGGTCTGCATTGTGTGTGAGAGTGAATATTGTGACTGGAATTTGCTGAAATTGTGGCCCATATACACAGCCATATGGATGAATATCTGTAACTTGTGCACTTTGTGTTCACACCTGCAGGAGTAATTGGGGTGTCTGCACCCCATTCTTTTTTATTCTTTCTTAACTTCATTGAGATGCATAGATATAGTATACATAATATAGATGTATAGATATTTGTTTACCCATTATTTGTGACTCTAATCCTAATTTATACTCTTTAAAAAAAAAAAAATTATTAATAAATATGACATTTACTGTTCATTATTAAATTGTTGTTGTGCCTGCTGGGAGCTCGGAAAATTTATATTTATTGTGTCCTTTTTAATTTTCCCAGACATAGCATAACATAAATTGGGGGCAAGTCCAGGATTTGCCCACAGTCCCTTTTTTGCAGAAAGTGATAATCAAACTGCTAAACCAAACACACACTCTTAGCACATAACACAAACAAAATAAAATATACTTTAAACTACAAATACTTAAATCAACACAAATATTTATTCCAAGAAAAAAAACCCTCAACTTTATTTGAAATAATCAACTGAACACGTAATGAACAGTTTTCCAGTTGTCTTAATACAAATAGTCAAAAGTCACTTCTGTGTTTTACCCAGAGAAAATTGGGAATAAATATTACTTTGGCATTTTGTTTAAAACTCTAATCTTTTAAAAACTATAAGATGACACAACAATAATAAAAGGACATGTCAATGAACAATGAACCGAAATCAGACAAGTGAGATTTGGCTTTTAGTTATTATTTTAAATAAAGGTAAAACTTTTGTTTACTTGTGCAAAAATAGTGTTGCCTTTCTTAATTTAGAGTGATTCAAATGATAGACTATTTGGGGAATGTACTGAGCAGCAACCTTATTTATATTACAGTGTTGTCACAGATTTAGTCATGTTAGCCATTGTTACATCAGTCCCTAAACAGGAAATCTTTTCTCAGCTTGCTAATTATAACCCAACTGTCTATCATTGCGCCATTGTTTTGTTGTGCGTCTACAGAAAAAATAGAAAAGAAAAAAGAAAAAAAGAAGTCACGCGCACAAGATAAAAGAAGAGTAGTGGCACTAAGCCCATCCTCACATCATATGTGACTTCCTCTCCCAGGTCCGCCTCTGTGATAAAGATCTTGGAAATTTTCTCACAGGGTCCATAAAGCACACGTGTCACCAGTGGGTATTCACCAACCCTCAGTCGTGTCCTTTCTGCAAGGTCATAAGCAAAGTAACACACAATTAGTAAAAAAAACATAAACAAATTAATTAAAAAAAAAAAAACACAACAACAACACAGATCGAAAGGTCTCACTTACCACCAGACTCATGCACCATGTAAAGAACAAACTCCTCAGCTTTATTCTCCACCTTAGAAGACAGAAGTATTAAGGCAGGCATAGAAAGCTTTTAGTTCAAAAACAATGTTGCTGTTATGCCAGCAGGTTAGAAGGACTGGTTTCCTTGAGTATGCTGCCTATGAAACTGTAGCTGTGTCCAGGCTAGCACTGTGTGTTTGTCAGTGGCAAGATCCAGTTTACCACTGATTTACCGAAATGATCACCCATGATAATAACTGCTTACTTCACTCACATTTTCAAGTATACAAAATTTATCAAATGAATATATTAATAAGGTAAATACTTGATTTTGATCAACTTGAAGTGAGACCGGTATCTTTATTGCTCACCCTAAACTTGTGTAGCAGCAGGTTCAGGACTTGTCCAGTTGTCATGGTGCTGTTTACTCTTACGTTAGTGACTGAACCATAGGCTGGAGTAAAAACAGATGTCTGGAGGCAAGAACACAATAATGGAAAAATTCACAACAGAAAATGCCTATGTAGAAGACAGAGTACTAGTAGAGGCGCTTTGCTTAATCGACACTTCAGTGTGGATTTCTAGGCTTGAGTGCCCTGGACATTTTCCACAGGAAGTCTAAAGCAGAAAGGAAATCTCTCACTCTGTACCTGGACTCTGTTCAAAAACAACATGCACTTATTGTATCTGAGAGACTGATGCAGGAACACAGTGTAACCCTTTTTTTCTCCTCCCTGTGGCACATTAATGAAATGAGATCACAGCTGGCTATTATAAAACTCAGCTAAAGCACAGGCACACCCACACAGGAAAGCACTGCCCCTCTGCACCTGGAGATGTGTCAACAACCAGAAACATTAACGGGTGTACTGTTCTGTTTATGTACCTTATGGTTGTAGAAGTGGCCGTTGATTGAGAACCTGTGTGTGCGCAAGCGCTGCAGGTCTCTGGCAGTGTGAGTCTTTGACCTCCTCTGAACACGCATGAAGGAAGCATCACTCCTGGTCCTGAGTAGCTGGGGAGAGTCGTCCTCATCCTGACCACCCACGTCACCACCTCATTGAGGAAGACACGTAAAGAAAAAACACACCTGTTTTATCACAGGTACATTGATTCAACTGCAAATACCTAATCACCAAATAAGGTAGGAGCAGCTCCTGATTAGGCATAGAGAAATAGTCTAGAGAGCCTTATTAAGTTCAAAGCCAACCACAACATTTAACTGACTTTGAACGTGACATGGTTGTTGGTGCCCGAGAGGACTGTCTGCGTATTGCAGAAACTGCTGATCTATTGGGATTTCCGCATAGAACCATCTCTAGGGTTTACAGAGAGCACTCCATAAAAGAGAAATTTCCAGTAAGCAGCAGGTGAAAATGCCTTGTTTATGTCAGAGGTCAGAGGAGATTTGGCAGACAGCTTTGAACTGACAGGAAGGGAATAGTAACTCAAATAATCACTTGTTTGTAATCGAGGACATGTATATAATGGAGAAGATGACCTACACTTTGAGACTGAAATCTGACAAACACCGAAAACAGTGGACAAAATGGATAGCTTATAAGACTCATTCAGCCCCATAGGGCAGGGACCTCTCCTCTTTGTTTTTTTTTTTTTTTTTTTTTTTTTTCCCCTTTTCCCCTCTTCCACAGATTGGGTGTTCTTTATTTTTTTCTTTATTTTTTTTTGTGTTCTTTTTTTTTGTGTTTTTGTTTGCATGTACTATAAAATTGGAAAAAGTACTAAATAAAAAGTTAAAAAAAAAAAAAAAAATCACTTGCTACAACCAAGGCATGCAGAACATGTTGAATCTCGAAGCAACAGTGGAGGACAACAACAGGTGCCATTCCTGTGAGCTAAGAACGGGAAACTGAGGCTACAGTTCACACAAGCTGACCAAAATTCGACAATAGAAGACTGGAAAAATGTTGCCTGGTCTGATTAGTCACAGTGTTTGTTGCAAGATTCAGATAATATAGCGAGAATTTGATGTAAATGACATTAAAGTATGAATCAATCCTGCCCTGTATTAACCTCTCAGGCTGCTGGTGGTGGATTGTCAGGGTGGATATTTCTTTGGTGCGCTTTGGGCCCCTTAGTGGCAACTGAGCATGTGACATTTAAACCTCAGTTTTGTTGTCATAATCATGTCTGTCCTTTAATGGCAACAGTGTACCCATCTTGTGATAGTTGCTTCCACCAGGATAACGTACTATGTCACGAAGCCTAAATCGTGTCAAACTGGTGTCTTGAACATATCAGTGAGTTCACTGCACTCTCTGCAGTCACCAGATCTCAATCCCATAGAGCACCTTTGGGATGTGGTAGGCAGGAGAGTTGTGGATGTACAGCCAATAAACCTGCAACAACTATGTGTTGCTATCATGTCAATATGGACCAAAATCTCATAATTGTCTCCAGCGCCCTTCTGGATAAAGAATTAAAGCCGTTCTGAAGGCAAAAGGGGGTCTAATCCAGTAATGGTTATACTGGGTTAGACCTCCTTTTGGGATAATAAAGTGGAGAGTGGGTGTATATTCAATAGCCTGTACTTCATACTAACATTAAATGTAACATTAAAATATGTGAACAAGCATTTTGGGGTTAGGGGAGAACATATTTCATACATTTATATCCAATAAAAACTATTCATCTGCTGACACATTCTTTTTACATGAGCAGCAGCAGCCTAGTTTTCAGCCTGTGGTATTTTCTTCCCAATTATGAGACAATTATTAGCATCAATAAGTAAAATGATTTCTTTATTTGTTATCAGCACCCTTGTTCAGTTAATTTTTTTAAAGCAATTTCTATAGTTCAATAAATACAATAATGTCCTGCAACTGGCAGGAAACCAGGATTTTTCCAATAATCAATCATAAATCAAACAGCTATTAATATGGTGTTAAAGTCAGACAAATCTTGCTCCTCAGAGCTAGCTCTGACAAATGAGTGTTACACTACAAGTTAACAAGAGTTTTCCAAATTAGCTTGTGAGACTCTCACCAGTACATTACAACTCTACAATCACAATCTAACTAAACTTATAACAGTAAAAAGTAGATCATATAGTATTAGTTGTGAATATTCATTTTTTCTTCCATATATTTTTTAATTTTGTCATATAATAGTGACCACATCACCACTGTATGACAAAATGTTAAACCACTGATTCCGATTGGCAAATTTTTACAAATTTGCTGCGTTGTTTACCTTTGGTCATAAGGTGCCTCTGTGAGAAAACAGATGCTATCAAAACCACTTAGTGATGGCTTTGATAGAGGCCTTTCTAACAAGTCTAACTGGTTATTTATAGAGCTGGTGATCGGATTTCAGTGGCATCTCATGATCGTATGTGCCCAACACGTGAGTCTACCTGACCACTGTGCTTAATGAAGCACTTGTGGGACCATAATCTCCTTCAGTAGGTGTGTAATCTGAACTAATCCAGCAGGTTTGTGTGTGTGAAAGAGAATAGCCGCACGTGTTTCAAACTCACCTGCTGGTCCGGTTTCTCGGTCAAGCGAGTTATTATTAGACTCTGCTGACACCTGCTTCGCCACGGTAAATCTGCTGTTTTTGTAGAAGACAAACGAAGGGAAAATGTTTTTAAACCTCGAACACCAAGCGTATCATATTTGATACATGAGTTTTTATGTTATCTTTACATTATCAGTGTGATTTTAGCAGTGTGCAGTTAAATTGCACAATACATTTTTAAGCCATACATTGCACAAAAATGTCAGACGTAGCAATTTTTAAACTGTAGTATGATACAAATACAATAGAAATTACAAGTCAAATATGCAAATTGATAGTTACTTTTTTAATGTTAGACATTTCCATAAACATTCCAGTTTTAAAAATGAGAATTTTCTCGCACCTAATGTCATGGTTCAGGCTTTTACAAGGTTAATGTATCTTTACAGTTTATGTGAAGTTATTGTATTTACCTTGTTCTGAACTGGTGAGATGTGATTGAAAGCCTTAAGTAAGCAATGGATTTACATTTTTTTTTCCAGACAGCTAGATGAGCAAATTAGCATCTTTCAGATAATTATGATGCTACAGTAAAAAGAGGATTATCTTAGCTTAGCTCAAAGCTAGAATAATTGTTTTAATTATTCTGAGTATTGATGAAACTGCCAATCATTCTCTTCAGAAACATATCATTGGCTTTTGGCTTCAAAGTGCTTAGAAATGGACTGAAATTAGAAGCTGGCATTTGAATTAGGCCGTTATACCTGCTGAAACGAAATCTTTCATTGTCATCATACATCTGAAGTCTTATTGGTCGACATAGACCCCAGTAGATGTTCAGCAGCCCTTCAAGAACAAACTCTCCATCCTCCTGCATACAGACACAAACACACGTATGACAATAATTATCAGCAGTCATTGTCAGAGGGGATATCCTGCTGGCCTGCAGCCACCATGGTTCAATATCAGGTGTACGTGCTGGGACATTCGCTCACAGCTGCAGGGTGAGCTCTGTCATCTCTCAGAAACTGTGGAAAAAAGGGCGTGTCGCTTGATCCTTTTTACAAGAATGAATCACGTCTGGGAGGGCCGAAATGGAACAAAGTCTTAACAACTGCTGTGGGTCACGTACACGCAGGGGGCGAGTTTGTTGTTTTTGTTGAGAAAAAAAAGTGAAACTCTAAAATTAGAATCAATTGGAAACTATGCCGTACGTGCTTTGGATGTAGAAAACAAAACTGTTTGCTTTTACAGCTAAATGCAAAACAAAAGGCAGAACTAAAGCAGAAATCAAGGGCCTTCGGCGTGTTAATGTGAAAAATAAATCCAGAGGTTCAACAACAAGTCAAGGTTCTGTTTTGTATTAAAGCTAGATCAATGATAAATCAGATACCACACATCTGTGACTGTGATAACAGCCATCCACCACACTTTTAGGACGTCCGCTTGCCTGAAACAACTTGTTATATCACCACTATAACTAATTCATTACCCAGAAATACAATAAATATCATTTAACAGATTTGCTGAGGGAAAAAGCTGATGAATCAAATCATTATAGCAGTTTCAACAGCAAAGTAGCACAGATAAGAAATGGAAGAAATAATTTCTAATTCTCAGAAGCCCAACTGCTCAGCTGACACCAGTGAAAACAACAAGCATCGATTTTTAAAGTATAATTTTTAAGTAATAAAAAGTAAAATCATTGGAAAAGGCTGAATACACCTGGAATTCATAAGTCACAGAGAATTTTAAATATATGCAAGTTTTGACATTTCAATTTACATACATTCCAATAAGATTGAATCATTTCCACTGAAATGTAATAAATCTTAATGGATTCTTCTAATTAAGGAGGTGTTACATACAAACACTTGGCTTCACTAAGCTCAAACAGATTAATTATTAATTAAACAAGAACAAAACAATTCATATTAGAGGGCAGATATTTTATGTACTTTTTGAGCAGCTTGCATGTGATGCATCCTCGTGTATGCTCTGCTTTCATGCATTTCACTTGTGTGCATGAGACTGATTGTTGAAGTAACCACATGATTTGATGAGTTTTTATGTAAACAGTTTTTACAGGCGTCTGAGCCATTACGGACATAATCCTCATGTTTTGTTTTTTAAACTTTTAATATATATATATTGTATATGTATATGTATATGTATATATGGATATTTTTTTCTGTTTGTTTTATAACAAGGGATCAGGAGGAGGCATAATGGTTGGAAATGACTGAAAGAATAATTATGCTTGTTTTCATTTTCATAATGATAACAATCATAAATGTTAAAGAATGGAGAGAAGAGACAGAAAGTGGATTTCTGGATGCGCTCACGGGGCTTCATTGTTTTGGAAATATAAACATTCAGTGCAGCTGCACCACTGAACCTCGCTGACCCACCACTCCTGAGTTTCCTGAACAGGCATGAACACACCCTCAAGTGCACGCACACAAATTCACACAGATGCGAGTTAGGTCAGCTGAGCTATTTTTGGATCTAGCGGTTAATCACTGTGCTGCAGCGTGCCTCTATAAAGGCTGGATACACACTCCAGTCCACTCAGACTCAACTGCAAAGACTGGACATCACTTCTATTTCTCTCTGCATGTCAAACCTACAACACAAGTATCAAAGGTGAGAATGATTCCTCTTTTACTTCTTCATTATTAGCTGTTCCTCAGGACTACAAATGAATTATCCCCACAAGTTATTTTAGAGAAATCCTAGAAGTGTATTCAACATTAACTAAAGAGTTATAAAATTAAGTTAATGATTTGGAAGTAATTATTTCCAGGAAACAATACAGAATAAGGAAAGGGGGAAAAAATCTTTCAGTTTAGCTCCTGTTTTTAAATTAAAAAAAAAATGGTAATGAGAATAATTAGGGATGTTTACAGATTATGTCAGATGTTTTAGCAGCACAGTTATATGTTGTCAAATATTAGAAATTAGAGCTATAATCTGTATTTCTTTTGATTTTTTCTTGAATAGAACCCCCTTCCCAGAGTCTAATTATTTTATTGTTCCTCTCCGCTGCAGCATGAAACGCAGACAGTTGTTGCTGTCTCTGCCTCACTTGCCAACCATTACCGAGACACTCGAGGACTTGCCTGTCAACCCTTCATCCTCCCAGTCCACCCAGAGCTCCCAGTCTCTAGAGGACTACATGACCTGCATCCAGGCTCTTGCCCGACCTGCTGAGGCCCCAAGCTACGGCCCTGTAAGACTCCAGAGGACCCCCAGGCTGCGGCAGTTCTCAAAGGCTCAGATGAAGCTCTCAGTTTCTGCCTCAGCACCTCGCGGGTCTCCGCGCACACTAAGGACTTCCAGACCTTCCAGTCTGAATCTAAACAACGGCACAGAGGATTTTTCCCTCAGGATGAGCAGAGAACGTGACTGCAAGGGAAAAGACCCAGTAGACTGGCTGTTTGGACAGATAAGGACTTAAAGAGAAGTTTGGTTGTTGTTGTGGGAAACCCTGGAGGTACTTTGGAGTATCCAAACAAGGAGCCACAGGAGGAAGTGAACTGTTGGTATTTGCTCGGTGATAAAATTTCTATGTGACTCATGAGCAAAACGAAGACTTATTTATTTTCCTGCACTTCTACATGTTTACATAAAGAAATATTTTGTTAAGATGTAAAGGCTATAGTTTGCAATAAAATACTAAAATAATCAACAAAGTCTGAATTAGCATGTTTTTGTTTCTGAGATTAATCCACAAAGAAGAAGAAGACTTAAAAAAAAACTCTTTGTGTGTTAAGTCACACTCTCTAAAAACAAAACAAAAATCTTTAAACATCTGAGATCTTTTGATAGACTTTTTTTTGGTTTTCTGTCAAATTAAACCCTACTTATTAAAAAAGGTAGATGATCCTATTCTACTGACAATAACAACAATTGTTATTTGCATCCATAGTGTGAGAGGTTGTGTCTGCAGGCAAGCAGCACATATTTTAGTGAAACCCTGTTACAGAAAGAATTTTACTCTATACTTCATCTACACTATATAACAGAGGTAAACATTTTAAAACAACACTTGAATGAGTAAATTCTAAATTCTAAATCTAAAATCATTCTTATAGCAGACCAACTCTCCTGCTAAAATAAACAGACACTCATGTGATCATGTGATCAACAGTCAAACAGCCACTGATTACATCTGGAAAGTAATGGAGTGAAAAAAGGGAAGGAGTGACATTTTTCACACTATATGGACAAATATACACTACTAATCTAAACCAATATTAAAATAGTACATTACATGTTTTTTTTAAAGTATTGATAGTTATGATATATAAAAATATGAAAGTCAGCATTCTGCAGGAGCATATATTTAATGCTGATACTTTCACTTATGTCAACTGAATATTTCTATTTTATTCAGTGTTATAATAAATATAGTAAAATATTGTGCAGTATCATACCAAAGCTACAGCTGTAGTTAAAATGACATCCTTTGACCTACTGCAACAAAAAATATAGTAACAACATTTGTAGTAAAATGCTTACATATCAAAACATCACTGATGATGATCCAAAGAATATAACATGTAATTATATTTAAAGACAAGTAACTATTTTATAGAAGTCCCAAAAAGTTGATTCTGTTCACCTGGAGTTTTCAGTTGGAAAAACATTTGGTCCAGATGAACAGAACCAACTTTTTGGGATTTCCTTAACCGGATGTTAGAACATGGATTAAGATATTCTATAGAAGGCATTTTAGTGAGAGTCCCCCCCCCCCAAGTAAATTCTAATGATAATATTTTTTATGCACGACTTGTAAATGGTCCATTTAATTTTTTTTGTCTGTGCTTCAACTTAAGTTCACAAACTTCTTCCATCACGGCTACAAATCTACCACGATGATTCCTCCCCCGTCTCCGTTTATCTCTTTTAGTCTCAGCATGCTAGTGACATCCAGCGGTGAGAAATGGGGGCTACATTTCAAAACCTGGATTCGGCCACTAGAGTGCGCTATATACTCACTGACGGACACCGGAGGTTAATAGAGCAATATTATATACCAACCAACCTACCACTCCTGTGCAACGTCCAGGAGTGGCTGAAGTGAGCCCAGTGTTTACTTAGATCAGGCTGAAACCTTTGCACCATACAACAGTGTGGTAGCCTTTATAGTCTGAAAAATACACCCAAACAGTATCCACCGTTTACGTTTAAGACAAACCCAGATGCTGAAGTGCTCTTTAGCATGTTTTGAAACTTAGCTCTGCAATCTGAGGAGTGAAAGGAGAATTTGACACCTCCGGCAGTCTACACCTGCATTATTACAGATATTGCAGTGATACTCTTTAAAAGTGTACATGTTAGAATTTGTTTTCTTCCCACAGGTCCTGGGGTTGTTTATTCTGGATGGTACTAAACTTCCACCTCAAAGCACCTGACATTTCCTCCTCCTCCAGTATGACTAATACACATCACCTGACTACACCTTTAGAATTTGATCATGAGTGATTCTTAAAAACAATACATATCTCTGCAGCGTCCAACCGCCACTTCACATGTGTCTTTCCAAAGACAACCTGAATGATTGTGCAAGTCTGGCTTTGTCTAATTACAGACACATATTTTCTAGTAATTCACAGGAGGAATTTTCTACTTTTATCTTATAATCAAGGAGTGTCAGTACAGTGCAATATTTGTGAGCCGTATCTACAAAATATCTACTGTTTAGTGGATGAAGATGAAGCATGACCCTGTGGTCAGATTGCTCTTGATAACAGTTGACAAAACAAAGAAACTACTTTCAGCTGCTCCCTTATTCATAGGGGGTCATCACAGCTGGTAGTTCGGCGTATTTCATTTTGCAGGGTTTTCCTTTCTGACACAACTCCAAGAGGATTGTGTTTCCTCCTGGAATCGAATAAGGGGTCTTTCACTCCAAGGTGAAACCATGTGGAATTCACTTTCATTTTTCAACGAAACCTCCACCAAGACAGCTCATTCACTGGGCAGTATTTACTTTTAAGGGAACAGTATTGTATTTTGTATATATTAATACTTTTTTCTTTGTTCTTTTTAAACGTAGTTTAGGATGTTTTTAGTGCAATAAAAGTGAGTGCAACATACAGACTTTTGTCATTTGCCCCACTGAAATCTGTTTAAATATACTTGACATAATTTTGAGTATAATTATGCTTTACTTGTTTTTGTTTATGTGGATCTAATACATGTGTAGCATTCATTTGTTAAGATGTCCTGACTAAAATGTCCTTTAAATGTTAAGTGATAAGTATCAAGTTAAAAAGGTTTTTGATCACAAGTTTTTTAGTTTTCCAAAAAAGTATTCATATTTGGGATTATTGGACATGCATTTAAATTGTTATGTGGTACTGGTTAAACTGGTTTTGGTATATCGATATATGCTGTTAATGTAAACAATGACAATAAGCACTATTATCACTTGAAGGAGAGGTCAGAGGTCAAATGTGGCATGATATTATTTATTTCTATACAGTACTTTGCATATGTTGACAATACATACCACACTTTATACAGTTTCTAAGTTCTAAGGCTTTTTGGTAGCACTTCCACCAATAAATCATTAGACTGACCTTGAAGACCTTGATGGATGTGAGCCCAATTTCAATGGACTGTTAACACAACCCCACTTGTCACCCCTACAAAGTTTTATCAGAATTCATTCAAAGGTTTTCGAGCTACCACGTTTATAGACAGAATGGCACACACACATGCAAACACTACCAAAAGCATAATCTCACTGGTAGAGGCAACTATGTTTATAATCTAAAAAAGTGCTTGATGATTTATTTATTTTATGACTTATTCCTGCATTTCCTGTGGTACAACCATTATAAAAGACTGAATTCAAGACTGAATTGTTCAGTCTTTCTGTACACACCTTGTAAGGTGGAGCAATTAAGAATAGTTGAAGAAATCCTGAAACTCAGACAAGCAGTAAAACAACAAAAGGTAATGCTTTGAATGTGTGTTACACTGTACTTACTCTATGATAACAGAGACAGACTTGACAACAACCATGCAGAAGCACATTAAAACTTCTCCTAGCAGAACTGTTTTAAGGAATGGGAGTTTTCACAGTACAATCTAAACAGTGGGACAAACAGTGGGTGCGTGAGAATTGAGCAGATAGTGGTATGAAGAATTCACAGCAAATGGCTGGGCTTTGTGTCCTGCTCCCTGCACCCTTGACCCAAGCAGCTTCTTAACCCTAAACCAAGTGGAGTACATCCAGCTGTGAAAACAGGCCCTTTTTCTTGTTCTACATGGCCACTATGTTTGTCATTGTCCAGCATTTGAGTGAAAACAGCTTTAGGTAATCAGATTGAGTAGCTTGTTTGCCAGCAAAATTAGCATTTAGGATTTACTGATGCACCCTAACCAAAAGTCCCTGTCAACTGTTCTCATGCAGCTAAACATAGACATAATTCATTTTTATTTGTCCTTGCATCAACATTACTGCTGAGCAATAATTCTCCACTGAGAGTGTATTTTCAGTTAAAATGAGACAGCATTTGAACTTTACCACTACAATAAAGCTGATATTTAATTATCAAGAAAGCCAATACATTGTTCTTGACAAAAATAAGTAATATGAATCTAGTAAGAGTTGGTGATGTGTGACCTGTAAAGTTAGCTTATGTGTATGAATCATTGTCACTGTGAATGCGTCATCGTCTTGTTTTGCCCGTGACACAGATTCTCTCTGTGTCTGCTGCTGCTGCTGTTGTTAACTGGAATATTGAGTAATAGCCGAAGGCAAACATACATCTGAAGCCACTGTGACATCATCCATGGGTTTGGGGCTCCACTCTTTGATGTGTTGAATTTTTGGATGCTGCCATGTTGGTTTCTTGGAAGTGACCACATGTGAACAAGAGGGTGGAGTTCTAAGTTATCAGCTAACACTAATAAACCTGGGTAGAAAGCTGCATTTGTAAACTGTATGGATGCAATGCACAGACACATTTAACTATAATTAATGCATGGTAAAAAGCACCTTTATCATAAGTAAAAGACTAATAAAATACTGGAATTTCCCTCACTGAAACTGAAGCAGACTTCTGTAGTCTGTACAACACAACAGGCCATATTATTAGTTAAACAAGTCAATTAAAAGTCTCCAAATACACACCAACAGCACACACAAACTGAAGAGGCCCAGTTTAATCACTTAAAGTAGTGGAAGTGAGGCACTGCTGACGTTATGAACGGGCCTCGGGGGTCCACACCCACCCAATAAAGTCACTGTGCCCCGTCAGCTGAATTCTACTGCTATACTTTAACTATAAGTTACGCTAATTCATACAATATGGTACTGAAAAGGTTAAAACACCCATATCACGGTGAAGTTATTGCAGTACCAGCTCACTTTAATGATTTGGTTCACAGTAGTTTAGTGCTTCTGGAGCAGTCATAACCAGCATGACAAAGGAGGGTACTGATAATGTGGGCTTATGCATGTCAGACTTTGGGAAGTACCGCTCATATATCGTTGAAGCTAAAAAGAGGTCATTTGTCTGCTTGTACAATTTGTTTCAGAGCATGACCCCACCAGAAAATTGCAAAAAAAAAAATGAAAATGTGTTGAGGATATTGTGTGCTCTCGGTTAAAAGGTCTTGTTTTGCTTTGCCTCTGTAAATAGAGCCTTCAGTTTTCAGATCCTCTTCTGGGGAACCAGCACCCAATTTGGATTTGAGAGACAGACACCCTTGCTAATTTTAAGATCCAGCTTGAAATTGTACTTTTTGATAAAGCTTATAGTTAGGCCTGG